TTAGAGTGCCGTCGGCCAGACAATGCCGGCTGGCGACCCCCAGGGGGAGAGCCTTCTCTGTGGCAGCTCCTGCCCTCTGGAATGACCTACCCCCCGACCTACGTACAGTTGCGGACCTGCGCCTTTTTCGCCGAGCCCTGAAGGCCCATCTATTCTGTGCGGCCGGCCTGGCGTAGTTTGATTATGTTTCAGTGGGGGGGTTTTGTATGGGTGTGTTTTTAGAACAGGCCTGTTATTTAATTCGATTTTAAAACAGAAACTATTTATTTATTATTGTGGTTTTTAGTATCGCCTGTTCACCGCCCTGAGTCCCGCAAGGGAGATAGGGCGGTATATAAATTTAATAAATAAATAAATAAAAAAAATCAGATTATGAGGATAAGAATACAGTCAGATCAGGGTGTCTCAACTACATATGATGGTTATAATTTAAGTGTGCTTTTTCAGCTAATAATTGTAGTTTATAAAGCTCGCTTGCTTCAGCTATCTATAAGATTATCTAGTGTTTAATACACAGATGTCATAAGAAACTGCACATAATTTAAAATCAAAGTAGACATGTTAGATGTTCTTGCAGTCATGCCAAAGAAGAAGGCAAGAGACAGCTATTACAGTTGGCACAATCTCTTTATGTGTAATTGTGCTTGTATGCTTACATGTACATTTACAGTATTTAACTATCCTGAAGTATAAGCACTATGATGCTTTAATTTGTTTTTATTACCCAGATACTTCTTTTTCAGGGTTTTTTTTTAACTAAAATCAATGTATAGGATTCCTATTTGGAAGTTATAGAATTGAGTTGAATGGATGTAATTATTGGCTACACTGGGGATATCCAGTGTAGGCAAGAAGAATACACCATGTTTACAAAAAAGAATATCCTAAATTTAAAATTGCCTCCCCAAAATGAATAGGCAGGGGGGGGAAAGATAGAGATAAACATTCTTTGCAATCAGAGTGTCTGTTTTATCAACCTAACCTTGCCAATTCTAGCAGAAACCAATCCTTGAGTTTGCCCCCCAAAATATATATGAGACACTGTTATGTATGTATACCCCATGCCAGAAGCCACACAGAAAAGGAAGGATATGGATAAAAAAACCCCACATGTTCATATTAATTGAATTATTTAAATTGTAAAACAAAGTACCCCTATATATAAAATTATTGATGTCTCACTTCTACCAACCATTTTCTCTCACAGATACCTAATAATATAAAACATAGAGGTACAAATGCACACATCCACCCAGTGTGGGGGAGTCAAGATGGTAATATGATGCCAGATCCATCACTTTTTAGGTAAATTGATTTTACATACACACACACACACATATACACATAGACAACAGGGCATGCTCCATCTTCCATCATATCTGTTTTGATTAACCCCCCCCCCCCCCGTAGACACCATCACATTCCCCCCCTCTCCTTTTAGTACCATAACTAGATATGAAAGGATGGGGAAAATGTAACTAACGGAAAGAACGAAAAGGAAAGAAGTCTTGTTCAGTTATTAGAAAAGGGTTTACTATTCACTAAACCAGGGGTGGGCAACTATGGCAACTTTACGACCTATGGACTTTGACTCCCAGAATTCCTGAGCCAGCCATGCTCTATACAAATCTTCCCACCTAGGCAAATGCTAATCATTTCCAAGATATAACAGAATAGAATAACAGAGTTGGAATCCCTGCTCAAGCAGGAAACCCTGTACCATTTCAGACAAATGGCTGTCCAATCTCTTCTTAAAAACTTCCAGTGTTGGAGCACCCACAACTTCTGGAGGCAAGTCGTTCCACTGATTAATTGTTCTGTCAGGAAATTTCTCCTTAGTTCTAAGTTGGTTCTCTCCTTGATTAGTTTCCATCCATTGTTTCTTGCCTGCCTTCAGGTGGTTTGGAGAATAGCTTGACTCCCTCTTCTCTGTGGCTGCCCCTTAGATATTGGAACACTGCTATCATGTCCCCCCTCGTCCTTCTCTTCATTAAACTGGACATACTCAATTCCTGCAACAGTTCTTCCTTTGTTTTAGCCTTCAGTCCCCTAATCATCTTTGTTGCTCTTCTCTGTATTCTTTTACTTTTTAGCAGCCACATCTAGTCATTTGCAGCTCATGTATTTCCTTGTTTTCAACAGCAATCGATGAATAAAAAAGCTTGTGAAATTGTTGAGATTCTTTTAATGTTATTCTGGATTTTTGTGGTCGACTATCTTGATATATATATATATTAAAAAAATCAGAGTATTAAGTAATTCACAAAACAATACTTGTGTGTTGTCAGTTCTCATCCAATGGTATAGATACCTGTGGTTTTGGATGGGAGAGTCAATTGCAGCAGTAAATACAGTTTCTTGGGCCTTTTACTTTAAGAATTAGGTCTGACTAATTAGGAAGTAAACTTGGAGGAACAGAAATAGCACTGAGCTTTTAGGTGTTCTTCAGCTTGAGTTATGGGCGGGATTTTATTGAAAAATAATCTTATTTTTTTTCCCAGTCTGCAAAAGCAACAGCTGATCGAAAATCCATGACCAAGCTGGGTGGATTTGATGGAGATCTCCGAGGCCAATCTGCAAGTGTTGCTGAAAATGTTTATCCTTCAGAAGTGGACTTAGGCAGTTCTCATAGTGACTGCATTATTGGTGGAAATGAATCTGAAGAAATGCTAACAACTCACATGTCCCGAAAAACGGCTGTATCTCAATTTGAAGGGAAAGCTTTAGGCCTTGACAAAGCAATTCTGCACAGCATTGACTGCTGTGGTAAGAAAACTGTATTACTTTGTGTGATATGTAATACTAATTGTTTCAGGCAAGATTTATGCTACTCATAGTAGATTTCATCAGTGTATATAAAATACTTATTTTTCCAATTATTGTATTAATTGTTATTTTTCCAATGTGTTTGTTACAGTTTATTTACAGTTCTTTCATGTGCACTTTTCTAGCATCAGATGATACCAAAAAGAAAATGTACAGTTCAATCCTTGTAGTTGGAGGTGGCTTGATGTTCCACAAAGCTCAAGAATTTCTTCAACATAGAATTCTCAACAAAATGCCTCCTTCTTTCAGAAGAGTTGTTGAAAATGTAGAAGTCATTACAAGACCAAAGGTATCTTTGTATGGATTTGTGCAGATTTTCAAATAGGAGAGCAGCTGGATAAAGCTAGATAATGTAAGGGAATTAATTATGCAATAATCAAACACATTTTGAGATGAGTAATAGGCTCTCTGTTCCATTCAGAGGGATGCTTCACTCACAGTACTGCTGTGAGCATAGGTTGAGATGGCCACGTCTCCCAAAGGCTCAACTGCACCAATCAAGGGCTTTCTAGAATTATATACCCATGGCAGTTGTAAGTACAGAAGTACACTTGGGATTAGCAAAATCTTCTGTGAATACTCCTTGTAGATAATTTCTATTTGTAGCACCAGTTTTATTATATTAATAGGTATTGAATTGGTTTCTGCATTCACTGGAATCTGTTTGACAATTGAAGCAATGGCAGACTTTGGGGTAGTCAGCAAAATAAAAATATGTTTTTTTCCCCAAAAGTAAGTTGGTTCTATCTGTTCTTTTAGAGCCTTTAGAATTTAGCCACATTTGTAAAGGTTCAAGGAATCGGCCATGGGTTCATGTTTAAATTTTAATTGTATGGTATTTTTGTATCTGTTTATTAATATTAGGATATGGATCCACGTTTGATTGCTTGGAAAGGTGGTGCTGTTCTAGCCTGCCTAGATACAACGCAGGAGCTCTGGATTTATCAACAAGAATGGCAGCGCTTTGGTGTCCGTATGTTACGTGAAAGAGCTGCGTTTGTGTGGTGATCCAGTATTATTTAGAAATAGAATGTTTCCCTGATCCCTAGTTTTGTGTTTTAAATAAATTAAACAGATTAAATTATGTTTCCTCTGGAATCATTTAAAAATAAGGCATAATGTTATTAAAGATTTCTCTAAACCCTTTCCTCTAGTCCAGTGTTTTTCAAACTTGCAACATTAAAATGTGTGGACTTCAACTCTCAGAATTCATGAACCAGCCATGCCATGTTTCCAGAATTCCCTAGCCAGACAGCCATGCTGGCTATGGAATTCTGAGAGTTGATGTTTACACATCTTAAAGTTGCCAAGTTTGAAAAACACTATTCTCGTTGAATATTTTATAATGATCTTAGTGAAGTCTTAGTGACAGAAAATACAAAGCAGTTTAAAAAAAAACTCCAAATCAAAAATACAGCCAAGATGTGCACACATCCAGAGCACCAGACCTGGGTGCCTATTGGAATAATGCCAGTTGGCAGAATTGGTACAAGAGATTACAGCTTTCAAAATTTCCTGGCTACTAAACACACATTATCTAAGCATCTGCAAGTCACTTTATTTCATTAGATTTAGATTCTGATTGACTCCAAGGCAACTCTGGATAACTCACAATTATATTTCTATCATCTCTTTCTCACACAAAAACTGACCCACCAAATATACAATATGAACTATATTTTAAAAATACCTTTAGACAACACACTCTAATTCCAAAAACCTTTGCAACAAGGGGACTATAGTTTCCCTATCCAAAGTCTTGGGAGAATGCCATCAGAGTAGGAGTTACACAAATCTTTGAAGAAAGTAGGATCTTATTCCAGAGAGCAATGCAGCTTGTGAAGGACATACTAAGGCATGCCCATCATTACCTGTATTGTGGCAGTGGTATTCAAGGGCAGTGTAGACTACATTGCAGAAGTCAAGCCACAAAGGGAAAAAGGCATGAGTGGCTGTCTGAAAGGCCCAAGTACTGCACAAGATGGAGCTGTGCAAAAGGCCTCGTGCTCTTCAAGCAGAAGTTGTATGTTGAAAACCATTAAGACTGGGCACTAAATTTGAATACTGCCCCATCCAAGATTAAAGATGGAGCTGGAGGATGCTAAAATCTACAGCCATTCAGGTTCTGCAGGATTAAACCAGAATTGCTTCTCCACATCCAGATCCACACAACGAGACAGGACATCAATAGCATATTTGGCTGGTTTAGGGTTGATATATATCTATTATCAACATGCTGGACACTGATTGCTGAACTGATGAATTACCTCAGCCTGCAGTTTTATGTAGACCTTAAACAAGAGGAGCAAGAGCATTGAATCCTGTTAGCACATGACACTGGTGGGGCTGAGGGAGCAATCTCTCTCCCCAATGGAAAAATAATGTATTTGTGTAAATTTGTTGTTCACATTCCATTAAGTTCAAGGTTGTTTAAGTTTTTAAAGCAAGTGCCGGGGAAGCTTCTTTCCTGTCACATTCTATGACAAAGTAGAACAAAACAAATCACAGCTATGATTTGTAAGTTCTGACTGAAGTAATGCATATCTGGGGTTTGGCCAACACATTTAGCTGCCAGCAAATCAAGAGCATATGAGTCAATACAAGAGCTTGTGAAGAGGAACCAATAGTAATCAAGCTTTATATTGCACAAATGAAATGCTTGAGAAATCCACATCAGACATAGGAAGTAGGGACATACTTTCTATCATGGGCCCAAACTGTACAATGATTTAAATATACTTGCCAGTTTGCCGAGCTCTGGGGGAATCAGGAAATTCAGGCAGTTCAGATGAGTATAAAAATATATTGCAAGCTCAAGCTCTCTACAAGAATCTGAGCTACTAACAGTCAAGAGAAATGAGCAGGAATTAAGAAAGCATTCAAG